AAATCCAGAAGGTGTCAGGCTTCACTTGCTTGTGACCACAAATGCAATTTCACCTGTCTTCATATGCAAATCTCAGTGATTCCCGGGCATGAGGGGCTTGACATCAGAATTTTCTGCTCTTAACTGTTTGTGGGAATCCCCAGAGGAGGTATTTATAGTGCTGAAAGTTGCATGTTTATAGAGAGAGGACCCCGATCCTGTCCCCAGAGAAGCATGTCCAAGCTGAGTGCCTCTCCACCCGCCCAAGCCACTGCTCTGCCTGGGTGCCCCCTGGAGCCCTGTCACCTCTGGTGCCTGTGGAGCTGGCTCTGAATTCCACATGAGAAAAAAACCTCGACACCCTGAGAAGTAAGAACATTCCCTGTGAAGTTGGAGGGTTGTGACCTCCAGGGTCACAAAACTTAGTTCGGGCACAAAACCCTTTTCCGCCCTGGGTGTGAAATTGAGCTGTGTGGATGGGAAGAGCCCAGTTCTGGAAACGAGGCTCCTTCAGCGCTTTTACAGCACCCTGTTTCTGTCAACATGAGTCCTGGGGCTTCTTCCTCCAGGACCATCAGATGCTGTGGACAGACTGATGGAGAGAGATTGTGTTCTAACAGTCGTCACAGCGGCCTGTGAGTCTCCTCTGTCTCCAACTGAGACGCTTCTTTAAAAGATGGTTTTTAAGCACTGGAAATATTCTGTCCTCTAAAATAACAGCCCAGTAAGGATTACATCCAATCCCAGCCAAAGACAGAAATTATAGGGGAAGTGGGAGCCAAGGCTGGAGCCCTTGGAAATACATCTCACCACACCCCATAGGCCTCTGTATCCTCAGACCCCAGAGAAAACCCACAGCTGGCTCGCAGTAGAGACTTTCATTCTGGCCTTGACCCCGTCTCCAAGAACCCACGAGGAAGAGAGGGGCTCCTTAAGTGGAGGCCAGCAGAATTTTCTTCTTCACCCTGCTTCCCTCAGCTACACACTGTTGGGCTATTTTGCAGAGAAAAGGGGTTCAGCCATCCATAGCTTTTCAAGAACAGGTCAAGTTTACAACAGTGGTGTTAGGAAGAAGACATTTGCTTTCTTTGTATACTTCTTACACACCAAGCACTGGTCTAAATTTTATACACACACACACACACACACACACAAGTACGTTGAAATCCATAAGTTCTCATCCATGAGCAACACCACTAGTTTGAAGCCAGAAACCCTACACAGTGTCCAAGCCCGGGATCTTTGTCTTGCAGTTTTGAAGAATGAAAATCACAGATGACAAGAGAGAACAAAGCAGAAAGTTTGTTGAGAAAAAGAGAGCAAGCCAGGGAGACTTCCCTCAGCAGCTGGGAGGGGACCCAAGAGAGGGTTGTGTTGGCTCCTGTCTATGTTGCTTCAGGGACCAGAATTCAGACAAAGCCCCTTATCCCGATTGGCTGGCAACCATTCAGATTGCTTTCTTGGGCCAACCAGGCACCTCCATGATTTGTTTACGTGTGTCTTGCCCTATCAGGACTCTGATCACTCATCAGACAATGGCTAGGATTTGCTGAAGGGTTTTCGCCACATTCCTGTAGATGAAGAAGTAAGCCATGTAGTCTCTGCGCCTGTGACTTTCCCACAGAAACCCTGGGAGTCTCCAGGCCTGCTCTTTTCTCACAGAGGGTGAGGGTGTGAGGTGTGAGTCTTGATGTGTCAACAGGGACCACGCCCTAACGGCCTGGGTTACCTCTCCCTCCTAATCTGGACCACCAGCATAGCTGCTGCTATGAGGCCCTGGTTTCACTTGATCGTGGGGCTCCCAGGGCCTCCCTCCTCCCAGGGCCTCCCTCCTCCACCCCTAAAAAGCCAGGACTACCTGTTGTCAGGCAGGGTGATGTTCCCTCCACCAGCCCCAAGGAACGAGCAGGAGGCTGACAGCTGCCTGAGAGCTGGAGGTCCTGAGAATGATTCTCTCCCACCAGAAGGTGATTAGTTCAGAAACCAACAAGGTTTGTCTCCCAGTAATCCTCTGGTTCAATTTACCACCAAGTAATTTCACTAAAAATGAGCTCAGAACTGAAAAAATAAAATGGCCATTAAAACTTTTATTACAGTTCATGCCTATTGGCTATTTTCAAATCAAATCTCTTTGAAATTTTATTCTTCAGGTTCTTTTTCCTTCATCAGTTGGGCCTGTTTGATGGATTATGTGAAATTTCACTGAGAATTATATTGTTTTTAACTGCTCCCCCCAAAAAAAATAAGGTCTTCATTTTAACTCTTCTTGTCCAAAAGGAACACCAAATTCAAGACAGAGGAAAGGAACTAAGAAAATTTCCTCCTTTTCTTCAGCATTATTGTAGATGGATTTTAAAAAGAAAGAAAGAAATTAGTTCAGCCTGGCATTGGTGACTCACACCTGTAATCCTAGCTACTCAGGAGGCAGAGATCAGGAGGATACCAGTTCAAAGCCAGCCCTGGCAAATAGTTCAAGAGACTCTATCTCGAAAAACCCTTCACAAAAAAAGGACTGAAGGCACAGTTCAAGTGGTACAGCACCTGCCTAGCAAGTGTGAGGCCCTGAGTTCAAACCCCAGTACTGCCACAAAAAAAAAAAAAAAGAAAGAAAGAAAGAAATTAAAATGCTGGTGAAAACTGACACCTGAAACTCACAGGCAAGACAGGAACCCTCCAGGAACTGTGAATGACCAAAGCTGTGTGACAAAATGGCACCAACACAACCAATTCCCTTTGCATCTCATTTTGAAGGATGCAAGGTAGATGACTGATGTCACTGTTTCATTATCCCTGTCCCTTATGCATATTGCATTATGAATTAGTGTCATGATGCAAATCAAAAGCATCCTGAAAGGGGACCTGGAGCCACTGGCTCAGAGCTGCGGCACTTCCGTCAACTCAAATGCATCATCCTTGCGTTAGCTCACTGGCTCCCCGTACCCAATGACATCAGAAGCATTGGATCTGGAATCTGAAGTGACAGGACATCCCTGCGCTGCATATAACACTTAGGAGACTAAGCGACTGGAAAGCGAGCCCGCCCTTTGGGGAACGGCTAACCAATGGGAGCTGGCCGTGGTGATGTCATGCCTTTCTCCCTGGAGTGTCCTTGGTTAAGCAGAAACAGAAGTAACCATTCTGTCTCTGCTCGAGGAGTTTGGGGGTTCCTTCTGCCTGAGCGACCACCAGCAGCGTACAGCCAGCTCAGTGAGCTCGGGAGGTTTCCTTGATGATTACTTCCAGAATGGCAAGGGTTTTAACTGTGGCCCCAGGACAGAGTCCAGAAAGACAGATGGACCATGGCTGCCTCAGAACAAGAACTCTGATTTTAGGGTTTGCCAGCATCCCTGGGTTGAGTGGGCATTGCCTGCAGTGTGCCAGGCAGAGACTGTCCAGCTAACAGAGAGGGTGGTGACCCTCCTAAGATCAGGATGGGTCCCAGCGTCTGGTCTCACTGCTCCAGTCTGGTTCACCTGACCCACTCCTCTCATCTTCTCAAAATAAAAGCCCTACAATGTTGTCTTTCCAAATTTCCTTCCCACTGCTCTCTACCCCTTGCTCCAGCCTGGCCCAGCCGTTCCTTCATTCTGTCCACCTCCAAGTTGTCACCTCTGAGCTGTCCACCTCCGAGCCCTTTTCTTGCTCCTTTCTCTGCCTGCAATGTTGTCTCATGGATGTCCAAATCCTACCCAGTGTCCAGTGAAGCCATCAGTATAACTGTCCTCATCCCTACTCCCTCCAAGAGACGAACTCTCCTAGCCTACACATGGAAAGCGGTGCAGAGCGTGAAATGCTGTCCTTTCTGCTTGTGAGTTCCTCAAATGACTCTCACACATTTTAAACCGGTGTGACAAGATTCTCTTTGTAGTTGGAAGGAGCTGCAGAGGAAGTAAGTTTTGATGCAGCGGTTGTCACACTTCGGCATGCACCAAAGTCACCTGGAGGGCTGCTGAATACTGTCTGTCCCCTCTTCTCAGTTTCTGGTTCAGTGGGTCTGGGGTGGGGTCTGAGAATTTGGATTTTTTCAGTGATGTCAAGGCTGCAAGCTCAGAGACCACACTTTGAAGACTGCTTGCCTGGTATATTGTAAATATCACCATTTAAAAATAAAAATGTCAGTTGAGCCAGGCACCAGTGGCTCACATCTGTAATCCTAGCTACTGAAGGGGCAGAGGGCAGAAGGATTGAGGTTTGAAGCCAGTCTGGGGGATATCAAGACCCTATCTTGATAAAACCAATCACAAAAAAAGAGCTGGCAGACTGGCTCAAGCAGTCAGAGTACCTGCCTAGCAAGTGTGAGGCTCTGAGTTCAAACCCCAGTGCCACAAAAAAAAAAAATGTCAGCTGGGCACCGGTGTCTCAGGCCTATTACTAGCTACTGGGGAGGCTGAGATCAAAAGGGTTGTGGTTCAAGATGAGCCTGGGCAAATAGTTCAAGAGATCCCACCTTCAAAATAACCAGAGCAAAATGGACTGGAGGTATAGCTCAAGTGGTAGAGGGCCTGCTTTGCAAGCACAAAGCCCTGAGTTCAAATCCCAGTCCCACCTACAAATTAAAAATTAATAAAAATGTTGTATTAACTCTTTTAAGTGTATCTACTAGAATCCAAAAACCAGAGCAATTTGAGACACTATGACCCATTTTTAAGTACAAAACTAAGCTCTTGACAATTGGAAATTTTACATTGCTTTTTCTCCTTTTAATTTCCATTCTTATTCTCCAATAAGATTTTATGCTAATATATCTTATTCTTAATGATATTTTATCACACCATATATATATATGTGTATATTTATATACACAGAAATTGAAATTTATTTAAGTTCTCTGAAACTATTAGGCTCTGAGCATTTAAATTTTTTCTGAGGATTAACTTTATAACAATTAGTAGTAGTCAAGTGAACAAAAACAGCATAACTGTATATAAATGAATTTTTGTTAAATTGCTAGTAAATAGAAAAAGTGAATTTTGTTACTAATATCTTTTAGTGAGATAGGACTTCCTTTTTCAATTGCCATTTTTTTATTAATATTACTGATATTAGCAAAAGTTTTCATTGTGGATCTATTCCTCTTTTTATTTTTTTAGACATAAGCAAAGAATATTGTTAACATTATTAGTGGAGCTGGGAAGGGGTGGAGGCAGCTGTACTTCATCCTGACTGCCTTCTGAGTTCCAGGCCAGCAAGCACAGTGAACTGACACCCAGAATTATTCTTCCGGATCTCTATTAGTCTCCTTCAATGCAGTGGAAAGAAAAGAATCAGAAACCACCTGGCTCACAAAAGGATTTGTTGCCGAAACATTTGAATCATTTCAGTACTGACACCATTTTTTCAAATTTCCCCTTTGTTTGATGCATGGCAGGTTTGGTTGGTTTGCTGCTTTTGTCTTTTTAATTATGTAGGACAAGTGTTGACCAACCAAGGCCGGTTGGTGCCAGTCAAATCCTGCCTGGCCTGTTTTTGTACTGCACGCAAGTTAAAAATGGTTTTTCATTTTTAAAACATTGTAAAAAGGCCATTTAGGTGTGTGGGGAAATAGACCTTTGTGTCCTTAGCTTGTCTGTGACAGAGTCTAACCAGTTCTTCAACTTGAGAACACACACACAAAAGCACATGCAAAGAAATGGTGTGGGGCCCACAAATGCTAACCTACACACTGTCTGCCTCCTTCTTTCCAGGTAGTTTTCTGCTCTTGACCTAAGGCAAGGTGGCCTGGTAAGTCAGGGGGTGGCACCACACCTTGCTGTGTCAGGTGGAAGGCCTTTCTGAAAGGAGCTGTTTGCTTCCAGGCGCTGGAGGTACCGATCAGAAGGGCACATATGGCAAGTTTCCTGGCATGATGATGAAATACTGGGATGATTAGCTAGCAGGGTTCTCTCTCTCTCTCTCTCTCTCTCTCTCTCTCTCTCTCTCTCAGTGGTACTGGGGGGTTGAACTCAGTCAGCCACCAGCCACTCGCTAGGCAGGTGCTCTACCTCTTGAGCCCTGCTTCAATCCTTTTTTTGCATTGATTATTTTTGAGATAGGGTCTTGTAAATACCCAGGCCAGTCTGAATATAATCCTCCTATTTGTGCTTCCCTACATAGCTGGGATAACAGGCATATCCCACCCTGCCCAGTCATTGGTTGAGATGGGGTCTCACAAACTTTTTGCCTGAGTTGGCCTAGAATTTCATCCTCCTGATCTCTGCCTCCTGAGTAGCTAGGATTACAGGCATGAGCCCCCATGCTCAGCCTTGGCTCAGAGTTTTACAGGTTCCAGTCCATGATCAGGTGAGCTCATTGCTTAGAGACTCAGGTGGGGTGACAACATGAGGGAACACTTGGTGGAACAAACTGCTTACTTCACGGCCAAGAAGTGAAAAAGAAAAGGAAGGGGACAAGGTCCCACAGTCTTCAAGGGCACAGCCGCAGTGACCTTAAGACCTCCTACTCGGCTCCAGCTGTTAAAGGACCCACCATCTGGAGACCAAGACTTTACCACATGGGCCTTTGGGGGATAGTCAAGACTCAAACCAGAGCAATTGGAATCTGGAAAATGGCTCTCTGCCCGTTGTGCATAACAATAGTATTTTAAAACAACAGCAGACGTTCGCTTTGCTGGCACATCTGTAATTTGGGCAGGGCCCAATGGGGAGAGCTCGTCTCTATCCCACACTCCACAGGAGTGACTTGGGCCAGGGACCTGACAACACACTGCCCACTGCCAGCTGGGAGCGCACGTGGGATGGAGGCCCCAGGCACTGGGCCCTGTGAAGGAAAGAATTAGATAGCAAGTCTGACTTCTGTCTTAGAAAGGCCTATTTGTGAGGTCAGTCCTCAGCTGACATTTGGGAATTGGGGTTCCAAAAGGGTTTCCACCAACCTAACCAATAAGAGAGGTTCACTATGCTTAACTTGCATATACAAATGATGGTGTCATACTGAATACCTGCTTCCCTTCTGGGGCCTAGAATCCTGTAAGTGTGGGACAGAGTCCCTGCGTGACTAGTTCATGGTAGAAACCTCAGGCACTGTGGTGTGAAGCGCTTCTCCAGTAGAGAACATGTCACATGTCGTGTTACAAGTGACTGCAGGAGCCGGGTGCTGGTGGCTCACGCCTGTAATCCTAGCTACTCAGGAAGCAGAGATCAGGAGGATACCAGTTCAAAGCCAGCCCTGGCAAATAGTTCAAGAGACTCTATCTCAAAAAACCATTCACAAAAATAGGGCTGGTGGAGTGGCTCAAGGTGTAGGCCCTGAGTTCAATCCCCAGTACCTCAAAATAAAAGAAAAAAATGACAAGTGATTGTTGGAGAAATGAAGTGTGTCCATGTGATTCCAGGAGGAGAGAACTCTGGGAAGCTGTGCCCTGTTGCACCTAACTTTGCCCCGGTGCCTTCCCTTTGCTGATTTTGCCTTGTGTGTTTTTGCTGTAATAACTCTTAGGCATGAGAACACATATGCAGAGTTCTGCAAGTCCACCCAGTGGATTGTCATCCTAGGGATGGTCTTGGGGTCCCCAAACAACACAGTACCTTTCCACGTGAGCCTCTGCACAAGGCCTGGGCTTCCATGTGGGGTTCCAAAAACAAGCATCCAAAGAGAGAACCAGGTGGCAGGTATACTGCTCTGTGTGACCCAGCCTCAGAAGCCATGGAGCCCCACTCTGCCAGCTCGTTTAGCTGAGACATGCACAGAGGCCCACGCAGGATCGAGCGAGAGAAACAGAGACTTCTTCTGGTGGGGATGCATCAGTGTTCCCAGAGAGCTTGTGGGGGGTCGGATTAAGACAAATGCTGGAAAATAAAATCAATCATTTCCTTAAAACTCTGTGCTCACATACCTTCGCAATACCTCTGCATACCTCTGGTTTGGGTTCTCTAGTCTGAGACACTCGCACACTGAATGTAACACTGGCTTTGAAGTCAAAAAGACTGAATTGGGGTCCTGGTTCCATGGCTTCCCATCTGTGTGATCTGAGAAGAAAAGTCTGAGATTTTGTTGTATGTAAATACCCCAGTAGGCCATAAAACATAAAATATCTGGACATAGTGGTTCATCCCTATAATCCCAGCACTTGGTAGACTGAGGCAGGACAGCCAATTTGAGACCAGCCTGGACTTTATTGTAAGACCCTGTCTCAAAAACAAACAAAAAAAACCCACCTTATATTCTTTCAGGGTGCTTTCCCCTCCCCTGCTCTCTCCTAAAATGGCCTTCCTGGGTGTAAGAGAGATGAACTTCATGTCACTGGCTTGTCTGTCATGGGGACAGCCAGTTCTCCAACTGAAGATGTGGGATAAGATATAGGAGACAGGTCAGATCTACAGGAGAGAAGGAGTTTTCTAGCTTTGTGTGACTCCAGTAGCAAAATGCAGCCCTCCGCCCCTGGGTTGTCCCAGTGAGGCTGTGGTCCAGAGTTCTGTCTCTGCCGACATTCGCTCCCTCACTGATAAACAACCACCCCATCCCCCACCCTGGCGCCTGTGCATGTGCTTGCCTCACCCCCCCACCCCCACCAACCATGCTGGGTGAAGGGCCAGGCCCTGGCTCTGGGCTTGTCTCCGGTGTCATCTGGCTGCAATCTGCTGGTGTCTAGACCACTGGTGTCTCCTCTTTCCCCAGCCTCACACGTTCAAACTGGCGACTGCCAGCTCAGAAAGTGCAGGGCAGGCCATGAAGACCAGGGTGGGGCTGGGGTGGGGAGCTCCTCCCTCCTCAAGGCATCTCAGCTCTGCTGCAGAAGCCTGGGCTTCTCCCCACTTTCTCCTGCTGCCTAGCTGGTGTACCCCTGCTGTGGGGCCACTCATCCAGAGCACAGAGGACCCCAGGGTGAGCCCACAGCTCCAAGGCAGCTCCCATACAGTGTGGGAGCTGAGGGCAGCTCAGGAAAGTAAACTCAGCTCCCGTCTCCGAGGAAGATGGTTTTTCTTGTCCATGGCTGATCAGTGACTGGGTGGAAAGGGCCGTGGATAATTTCAACCATGAGCGCTGGTTGTAGGTTCAGAGGGGTTGGGATCAGCTGCTGGAGATTCAGAGCCCCATTAGGACCATTGAGAATTTACATTTTCATTTATCAGATATGCATGTGGCTTTTACAAATTGGCTGTGTAAATGCTGGATTGACAAGGATTACCAAAACAGACCCAGTCCACGTGGATCTTGCATAAGAGGGGGAACAAAAAAAACCAAAAACAATCACACTTGGCACATTAATATGCACAATTTTTACGTCCTTAGGTATCATTCAAAGATAAAATTTTTAGCTGGAGGTATGGCTCAAGCGGTAGAGCTCTAGCCTAGCAGTGGGAAGTCCTGAGTTCAAATCTCAGTACTACCAAAAAAAAAAAAAGATTAAAGTCCTGAGTACAAACCTCAGTACCATCAAAAAATTTAAATAAAGTAATAAAATTTTTTTAAATCACCCAAGTGTCTGGGGATGTCGCTCAGCTACCATAGAGCACTTGCATACATGCATACAGCTCTGGGTTCAGTTCCCAACACTGAAAAAAAAAGCCACACAAAACTTGGCACCGGTGGCTCACACTGTAATCGTAGCTACTTGGGAGGCTGAGATCTAGAAGACCATGGCTTAAGGCCATCCCTGGAGAATAGTTCTGGAGACCCCATTCCAAAATAACCACAGCAAAATAGACTGGAGGTACGGTTCGAATAGTAGAGCACTGACTTTGCAAGTGAGAAGTCCTAAGTTCAAAACCCCAGTCCTACCAAAAAAAAAAATCACACAAGTAAATAAACAAGTACACTACATAAACCTAGAAAGAACTGCTTCCACTAGAATCTAAGGACCACATGAATTTCATTTATTTTGTTCACTGATTAACCTACAGTGAGACCTCGAACATATTAGATGCTCAATAAACATTTGTTGGGTGAATGAATGAGGATATGAAAGCTGCAAGCTGACTTCCAGGGGTGGGGGTAGAGAAATGTCCCCAGGAAGGATTATTTACTGCCCTTAAACCCAATTTTCTAAGCTCAAACCCTACTGAATGAATTTGTATTAACTAAATTCTCTGGAGACTAATTTATGTACTAGGAAACATTTATATTTTTCTGCAAGAGATATATCCAATTTAAAATTTCCTGAGGGAGCATCCCAAAAATGCCAGGAAGAGTTAGCTTCAGTATTATTGAAATTCTGTTGAGGTGAGAGGCACTTACAGGCCTCTCAGGGAACGAAATCAATTATCAGAAGACTAATTTGGAAGAACTTGGAATCAATTAAAAAAAAAAAAAAGGAGGGGTAAATAAATGAGTTAGAGGACATTCAAGCAACTATCATATAGCCACTTGCTCACTTGGGACTTTTTTTTTTTTTTGGCAGTACTGGGGCTTGAACTCAGCACCTTGCTCTTGCTGGGCAGGCTTTCTACCACTTGAGCCACTCTGCCAGCCTTTGGGACATTCTTAAGTCATCCAAGTTCTCCTTTTGTTTGGGGAAATGCTGGAATTACTTATTTCCTAGTTTCCAAACTGGGAAGTGTGTTTATGGGGAATCCCAGAGCCAGGCTGCTTGCTTTAGCTGTTTGTGAGCTTGTTCTCATAAAACCAGTTGTCTTCCTCCTGAGGTTGTGCCTCTATTACCTTACTCCTACTTCCTGGCACCCTTTCAACTCAGGAGCCATAGAGCCTTCTGCAAGCCTCTTCTGGGAAGGCCCCATGCACCCATCTACTTTCTCTGGTACATTTCTGTGTGGCTCAGCTACATGACAGCATTTAGGCCTATGGGTTTGCAGTGTTTTCTGCTTTGGATACAAACTGTCACTCAAAAAGAGGGCTTGGTTCCAGCTGATGGCTTTTGAGAGGTGTTTGGATCAGGGGACTCTAACTTTATCAATGGATTCATGCCTTGATGAATTCGTAGCTGAATGGGTTGTTAGGTGGTGGATCGTGATTGGTGGAGATGGGGGGTGGGAAGGGGTGCATTTGAAGGGTGTATCTTGTCACAGACCCCTCCTCTCTCTGCCTGCTGTCTGTGGTTCATCCACGTTGCTTTACCAGTGCTCCCTGCCAGGATGTTCTGCCTCACCATACACAGGCCAGAAGCCAGTTGTTTCCTCAGATATTTTTGTCACAGTGACAAAAGTTACTCAACACATGGTGTTACGACAGAGTCTGCACCCAACTTCACAAGTCCGTAAGAACGTTAGTCTCCCCGTGAGGCTCATTTCCTAACTATGGATGTGTACGTGTGCGTGATGGGGTGTTGATACTCTTTAAGCCAAATGGAAGTTGAGTCCAGGAAGAATGGAGAAGGCTGGGATTTGCCTGGAGCCCCGAGGAGCCCACTCTTGCTGAGCTATGAAGAAGAGAAGGGAATGATATGAGTGCTGGCGGATCTCAGAAGAGTCTGATGCTCACAAAACTGAAAATAGCCTGTGGAAGTAGGGCATCTGAGCCATATGGAAGAAGATTGAAGGGTATTTTGGAACAAAACTCTGCAAGGAAGGTAGGGATCTCCACAGTCACAGCTGGGTCTGATGTGGATCTAATGGGTCATTTTTTTTTTTTGACAAATAATACAAATATATTTTATTTGAAATAAAAATGCTTACACAGCTTTCACTTGGAAACAAACTTTTCTTGACTGTATTTCTGAGCAAAAACAGCTGAGGCACAGACACCCTTCTTTTTTTGACATGTATTTGGAGACAGGTAGGAAGGCACTACTTGTTTGTTTTTTTTTTAAAAACTGACCTTCCCTTAAGGCCTGGTCATAGACGTGTAAACAGTGTAAATGAATCTACCATTGCCACATCATATCTATGTTCCCTGTGTATTCTGAGATCATGCATACCTGCCAATATACTAAGGGCTCATTTTAAACTCACCAAACGTAATAAGTAAACTTAAAAATGAAGATATCCCCCCATTCACGAATATAAAACAGATGTTCCTAACCATGCATTTCCATATTGACAATAGAACGACGAATCACTTCCTCCAAGCAGCAGGGCTGTGGAATGGACAGACACCCTGATGCCCCCAAATTTCCCTATGAGATCAACAGAGCAGTAAGGAAAGAGCAAGAAGCTGTGATTACCTCAGATGCTGCCCTAGGACCTCCACAGCCAAGACACTGCATCCCTAAACTGCCGCCTCTGGCCCTGCACCCCTTCCTCCCCTGAGACTGGGCTATGCCTTCCCACGTGCCTTGCACATTTTTGTCACCATTTGTGTTCACCTCCTATGACACAATCATCTAACATCAGGACTGCTTGGGTCCATGTGGTACTTTGGGACAAATTAGAAAAGATATCCCTTTTCACACGTCACCTTTTTCTATTGGAAAAAATCTTCATGATATACCGACCTGTTAGTGCCACCAACAGGGAGGTACAGGTGTACCTCCCCGCTAAGAGTTAAAATCACAGGCCAAGAAACCAAGCAATTTGGGTTCCACCTCCAACTCTGCCTCTTCCAGCAGTGTAGCCTTTGGGCACCTTGCTTGCGTTTTCTGAGCACCAGGTTCCCCTATCTGTAAAGTAGGTGAATAAGGTGTTTATTCACCATCGAGCTTGCTATGGAGGTTACAAGAGTTACTGCATGTGAGCTTGTCGTACTCTGCTCATCATATAGAATAGGCTGTGCAAAGAGGACAGAACTGTACATGTGAACAATGTTCGTGGTGTACATTTAAAATAGAATCTATTGGGAAAACTTAGAAGCAGAGAACAGAAGCATTCTTCAAGCTCAGAGGCCTCATTAGCTGCTGGAAAGGGTCCCCAGTCATGGGAAGGCAGACACCCCAGGAAAGACCCCAGGAGAGAAGCCTGGACCCTGTAGTACTCTACACACACGAGAAGCAGCAAGGAGCCTCCAGCTACCTCTGTGTGATGGAGCTTCTCACAGGAAACAGCCTGGGGAGAAAGAAGGGGCTCCAGAGTTCCCCCTCTGACATCAGGCTGTCATCCCTTCCCAAAAAGGGATAAAATGAGCCCCCAGCCTATGTGCACTTTCTCTCCTCTGTGAGTGTCACACTGAGGAAGCTGGGGCATTGCTTGCCCATGGCAAGGGTTGTACCCACTTTCTCTAGTTTCCATGCCAAGCTGCTTCCACTAACCAGTCAGCCTAGATGTCATCAAGTCAGTCTAATTGAGACTGACTCCAAAGTCCTCAGGAAACAGGAGTTTTGGGCCCAAAGCCCAAACTCCCAGGATTCCACATGCCACATCCAGCCACCTGCCCCTAAACGCCAATAATGAGGCCTGGTGAAGGCAGGGAAAGGAGGTTTATTACATGGCTTGGGACACACCATGGGAGGAGACAAAGTGAGCACTCAGCTTATCTTCAGCCATCTTCAGGGTACAGACATGAGCTGTAGGTTTAAATGGACAAAAGAACTGGAGACAGGGCACGAAGATATACATAGTCAAATAGTCCCGGTCACAGGTGTGCTCTGGTTGACCATTATCTCAGTCCCAGGGTTCCCAGAGGGGTTCTGGAGAAGATGTCATTGCTGTCCTCACTGGAGGGGGTGATCTGGTTCCCAGGACATGATTGCTTCTGCTCCAGGTGCAGCCTCATCATCGTAAGTAGCTGTCCTCATTTGGAGGGGTGTCTGCCCTGAGAGGCTCCACTGTTCCTTACAGGAAGTTTCAGTTCCTTGTCATAAAGACATTATCAGATCTGTCCTTTCTGGAGTCCAAGG